GTCTATGGAGGCTTGCGTAACGCCATGTTCTACTTGAAGGAGGCTAGACTACCAGATTTAATTGATAACGCAGCACGACATGACGAATTTTCTAAAGAAATTTTCTAGTCAAAGAGATGCCCTGGAATACCATGCAACACGAGGGTTATTTCAATGAACCTGAAAATTTGTTTCCTGTAAATATTGCAAGCTTTCTCTGTTTTTCTTCTGTACGGTCGTAGTTGGAGTTCTTACTTTCACATCGTATATCGTGACTGAATTTCTCACGTACGGAAGAACCCTCTTTGACGACCACCCCGTATATAGCTGAACCGAACAAAAGTTGTATATCTTAGCTTGTTGCCGTCACCTCCTTATAATACGACCTAAATTGTTGATTCCCCCCGGCAACCTTTATTTTCTATGTAAATAAACGGCTTTGGTTCTCTGAAAGAATTAGCATTCAGCAAGACCAAGAATTTTGTTTTTGTGGTGCTCTGAAAAGAGCCGTTTTGAACAAAGAGCCATTTTAAATTTTTTCTTGAAGTTTTCGTAGGAGGTGGAAACTGACTTTCTTTTATCATGATTTCTGATTCTACTGAGGCTGTCGATTGAGGTTTCAAAATACGTAATTATTTTTGGAATGTTTTAAACAGTTTTATTAGACGTGAGAAATTTGAACATGCATGTGTTCACTGTAATTTGAGTGCGTCTGCATCCCGATTTCAACACTCACGCATTCGGACAAGTCACATTGGGTAATTTTTTGGGCAAGACTGGGTCCCCGCCCAATTCCGAAGTTCGATCGCGAAGTGCCCGTACGCTTTTGAATGCCACTGTGGTTATGGTGGGTAAAGTTCAACAGAAGTCTTTTGTTTATTCGGCCTGCGATAAACTAAGCTAAAATACCGTCCAAACGTTATTTTTTCTTCTCTTTTCTCAGCAGAGGAAAGAAGTAGCTGAATTAGAAACCTTGGCACGTAACACACCGTCAGAACTTGAAGGACATTTTAAGACGTCTTACACAACCAGTCTCTTGTTTTCGCGGAGGACAGCGCTTGGAGAACCTTTCAAACTACTTTGATTCCTTGTTTCTTTGAAAATGCCTTATTTTGAGTTATCAACAAACGTTAAAGAAGTGCCTGCCGAGTTTCATAAAGAAACTACGAATTTGATTGCAGAGCTTTTAGGAAAACCGAGCTCGGTGAGTGTTAATTCTCCCAGCTGGGATCAAGTTTGTTACGTTAGATGTGTGCAGCAAGGTCACTGATTGCTGATCTGAGCGCTCATCAGTATTCAGTACTCTTATCACCTTGCCGCCGTTATTTGGGTCATTAGAAGCGTTTGCATGATGATTTAAGTAACGACTGCAAAGAGTCGACTTGACGTTTGCGTATTCTCCATATGTAAAGCTCAGTTCAGATCCCTCAAGTTGATGTTTATATCCCGAAGGATTATAAGCTTAAAGGGGGTCAGGCGACAAGATCCCCCAGGAAATTTTGAATAGAATGAACTGTCGTACTTGTTTTCCTCTATTCTGTTCTGCGACATGACCCTTTTTTT